GCAGCGCTGAAAACAGAACCTGGGCAAGCAGAGCTGAGGTGCGGCGGACAAAACGAGAACCAGAGGAGACGCAGACCAGCGAGCTGAGGGACCAGTGACAGCAACAGAGCGTGAACAGTGTTCTTCCATGGGATCCTGTAGCAAAATTCTGAATATAGCATTTCTCATGGCAAACCGTGGCTAAGATCCTCTAATTCTCTAATTCAACAACAATGGCAGGAGTTTAGATCATCAAAGGGGAGTTTTAGTTGCTTTAATTTCTTACTCAATAATTGTTTAACAATTCCTAGGTCTTAGGATAGTTTTTCTGATTGTTGGGATAATTGTATTGCTTAATCTGATTATATTTGGAGATTATTGTGACTGAATTATTGCTTAACATTTGACATTGGGCTGTTTATAGCTTTGATTTCAATTATAATATTGTGGTTATGACATTTGTATTGATTTTGGAGTTAATATATTGTGATTTTCTAAGGTGGCTTGGAATTTTGGATCATATTGTCTCTTGCTAGCTTTAATTCTGTTATTTTGGATTTAAGAGTTCTAATTAAACATTAGGTTTTAGCATCCTTAATCCCATTTTACTATTCTGGTTGCAGTTAGTAAGTTGGGATTTTAGGAAAATATTTTGTGGCAACTTGAGGTGGCTCAGTTGTTGGATTAAAAGCTTAATTATAATTCTTAATTCATTGGTTTAACTCCCACATCTTTTAGAGTGATGATTGCTTGCGTTGTTGAATTGAAGGATTGATTATTATCAGTATTATTTGTGTGTCTCATTTTCATTTCTTTAATCTTCATTCATTTTAATCACTTTTATATAATAAAAAAAGGTATTTTAATTTCAATTTGATTCGTAGTATTTAATTAGCAGTTTTTCAAAATCAAAAATCCTTTTTTATAGTTTAGGCTACTTGCATTTATTTACTAGGGTTTAATTTCATTTCCGGCTCCTCAAAGTGAATACGACCCGGATTGTGCACTATATTACATTAATTCGGTTAATTTTTGGAGTAACCCCAAAGCGACAAATTAAGGGCAATACACTTGATTAGTAAGGATATTTTAGGAAAGACACCACCTATTTATTACAAATAACTAACTTAACTTCTTTTCTTAATCTCCTCAAATTAGTCAACTAGCTCTTATAATTAGGACTGGAGGTAGTATATATGTATCTTCGGTTTTTAGTGTTAGATCTAGTTTCAAAAGTTACAATTTTTTCTTAAACAACACTTATAGGCTATAGCTGCATGTGGCCACAGCCGACGTAGAGGGTGACATAATGATATGAGGTCAGTCACACTCATCAAAAAATTTGGATGGCAGGAGGTGTAAAGTTTTAATGGGGAATAAGTTAGGTTTCAAATTTGTTTCTTTTCCTTTAGCACCGATAATAAATGATTCTCATCCACACTCCATCAAAGCATATGATGCCTAATTTCATTTTTTTTAAAGTTAGATTCTTGTTCACAAATAAAACAACAAAGCTAGGACGTTAAATGAAAGCATATATTTCTACAAGGCAGGTGTGTGAAGGATCTAATATGGTAATAGGGATGGATAGGAGGAATCTTTAATTTCTTCTGCCCATTGATTCTTTTTTACGTTCATCCAGATCTTCCGGACTGACCCTGATCATAATAAATTACTATATCTGCAAAAAACATGTTTGGAAGAGCTATCCCCAATTAGGCTCAATCGTCCGAATCTCATCCAATGAGATAGTCATATGAAAAAAGAAAAACTTCAATCTGGATTAGTCGTAATAGCTATAGTAGGCCCAAAAATACTTAGATGTGAAAGCAGAAAAAAAAATTTAAATATAGAAGTGAAGATATATATATTACTCACTTAATTATAAAACATTAACTAACAAAACTTCTTTTTCTGTTATATACAAACCACATTCGAAAACGCGTTGCTCCAACGACAGACACAACTGTTCTGCCGGTTAATATAGAATTTTTAGTTTTTGAACGTAATTTGTCTTTCTAAAACTTCTACCATATATATATCGCATTTAGGCATCATTTCTTATAACTTTTTAATGTCCAATTTTTTAATTATTAATATATAGGAAAGTTACATAATTTGAACATGATCAATATCAACCAATAATCAATAAATCCATTAGAGCTCAAGAAAATCACACACATACATTAAAAAAAATATAAAAAAAAAAAAGAGATCGGGTACCTAAACTGAAACCAACAGCTCATAAGTCGACTGTTTGATTGGAGTGTTGTGGCCAATATTAAACAACGGAACTTTTCATTGAATGATGTTTTACGTTATCTCTGAATTAAATTTATACGTTATCGTCACTTATATTTTATCCATATTTAACTGATGAAAATTAGCCTTTTTCCTACCCCTCAACTCACACCTAATCCTTCAAATTCATTTACTTACCAAGAATTAATATATATATATATATATAATTGTTCAAGATTCAGATTGGCTAATGCGTTTTACTGAACTTGTTTAATACAGCGCATCAAACAAGAGTATGATAATGCATTTTGAACGAACATTTCAACATATAAAAAGCGACTTGCTGGTAAGTCTTAATTTTGCAATCTCTATTGCATAATTTGTTGTTATGATTAATTATATTGTTAAAAGAGACCCTTAAAAAACATAGATAATAAATATATATTGAAAAAATCATTCTTTAAAAGAAAATTCTATGTCTTCTTCACATGTAATACTTTTCTTAAAAAATCAATAACAAACAATATATACTCATAGGATTAACTCGAATCCTATGTCCTAGCCTGTTTCTACATGTGGTGCTCTAACTAAATTAATTGTATTACTCCAGAGAATTTTGTTAGTCCCCCAATTTTCTGTGCCCACTATCACGATGCATATATTCCTTCACCTTTACAATTACTTTTCTGGTTCTTAATATAGGACTTAATTGTTGAGTTGATTTTGGTCCTAAATATAAGACCTATTTATCATATTTATCATTTTTCTCTAAATTATCTCCATGGATACTTCCTTAACCATAATTAAATAGAAAAGGGAGAGAGGATATTAAGGAAGATGATTATGGCATTTTAGGAAAAACATGTTATATTTCTTATAATTAACTAAGTTGCCTAACTTCCTTAATCTAATCAAATTAGTTAAATAGGTCTTATATTAAGGACTAGAAGAGTATTATATACTACCTTTAGTTTTTAATATAAGAGCTAATTAACTAATTTGAGTAGATTAAGAAAATTAGTTAAGTTAGTTACTTGTAATAAATATGTGTTATCTTTTCTAAAATACCATATCTTTTTTAAGGAAAATATGGAGGATCTGAAAACAATTACGCTTTCTATCAAAATAGTTCAAGGAAATTAGATAGGTCATGTCTGACGGCTATATGAACTTTCAATTTCTCATCCAAAATTCACCCGTAAATGACACGCAAAAGGCTGAGATTTCATGCACCCAGGCAACTCTAAAACATTGGATCACACACACACACACAGAGACACACACACGCACGCACACACTCTTTGTCAATTGAATCGTTGGTCATACTCCTGAGGTCCCAAATATAAGATACATTTGTAGTGTAATTTAGTTTACAAAACAGGTCTTTTATTTGGAACGGAGGGAGTAGTATTTATTAATGACATGAAAGAAGAGGCTGGCTGAATTAGAAGCTGGGGCAGAAAGCAGACATTAGTCAGATTGATTTAGTCACTTTTTGTTGGACTAATGCCCCATTTGTTAAAAAGTAAGGTGATTAATTAGAGAATTTGGTTAATTAATCAGAAATTTTATAATTATTTAGTGATATTAGGCAGAAAGATATTAATACTCTAAACAAGAAGTATACTAGGACCAAATTTAATCACTAACTAGCTTTTATATTAATGATAGAAGGTAGTATGTTTTGTATTCATATAAATTTGAACTTGAAACTTTGTGTTTACATATGGTCATAGCCTTTTTTACTTGGAGATCAACTCATTCGTAATAAGCAACATACGTACTATATGATCTTTTTACTAATTTAGTTATACTGATGCAACTCCGAAACCTGGCAGAAGAGAGACCCTTAAAAAATTGAACCCCTTAACTATTTATTTATTGTGATGATAGCATAATGTCTTTAACAAGTTTTAGTTATTTAACAGTTATTGGTTACTCATATTCAGCAAGCGTTTCCAACATACCATCTGATTTATTCACATCACATGCACCAGACTAACCTGGCAGCGGAAGGCTTTCTCCTTAGAATTGAGGAAGATGACAATCTTACAGCAGAACTTTAGGGGCTGCCTCATTTGGATTGAAACAGAGGCTTTAGAAGCATATTCTTAGAATCTCGTCTTCTTGTTTTTTTTTTTGGACCAGCAGCCATAGCCTGTTTTACTAGCCGGGATGAACCTCTTATTGATATTAATTTAATCTATTAAATATTAAAGGTAATATTTTTAGCAATTATTAATTACTCGTATTGAGCACCCGTTTCCAACATACCATCTGATTTACTGATGAAGTTTTCCCTGTTAATGAGATCCTTCACATCACATGCATAAGACTCATCTCATGCAGGAGAGAGCCCTCTAAACAATTGAAACCTTAACTGAAACGATATTTTTATTTAGAGGAGGATCATCATGATGAATAGCCTCCTGAGTACATACCGCACGCACACACTATATATAATAATTAAGGATCAAACCATAGTAGTGAAAGGGCTAATACTAGCTAGCAGCTAGCATTATCCTTTCTATGATGACCATATTATTCCCTTAATAATATAGATAGATAGATGGATCACCATTATGAGTTAATTAGCGTCGATTGTTCACAATACTTCCGTTGCCGTTGCCATATGTGGTGCCGCTGTTGTGAACAAAGTTGCCGCCATCGTTGTGGTAGTAAGGAGAATTGTAATTGTTGCCGGAATAAGCGCCGCTGTTGTAGTTGACGTCTCTGAAATTCTGAGAGCCTCGTCCGCTGTTATTGAATGAGCCCTGAATTCCACAGTTGTAGCCGCCGGCTGCTCTGTTGGCTTGAGCCTGAGCTTCGTTTGCCTGCATTATTCCCTGATGATGATTATCTGATATGACTCTGTTTCTTTGTTTTTCCGATGGCTATGCTCGTCTCCCTTGCTTCGCCCGCGTTTTATAGATGCACTACCGAGAATCTGCACTGTGTCTCCTTCCTTAAGCAAGAAGCTTTATGGTATACTTCTTCTTATCTTTAATATAAGAGCTAGTTGACTAATATAAGTAGATCAAGAAAAAATTAGTTAAGCCAATTGTTTATAATAAATAAGTATTATTTCTACTAAAATATCCTTACTAATCAAGTGTATTAGTTAAAACTACTATTATTACAATAACTAACTTGAGAAAAAATGAATGAATATGAGGGATAAAGTGGACTAAGATTTTATATTTAGGACCAAAATAAAAGTCAAATAAGTTCTCATAGTAGGTACTGAAGGTAGTTTATGCTTGTTATCTTAATCCGATTCCATCTCTCCAATCGCTACCCAACTATGGTTAGTTGAAGGAATATGTTAGTATAGTGTGTGGAAGTCGCTATAAAATTACAAAATTGGGAACGATGCATGCGACACGTTTTCCTTCTTTGGCTGTCCTTTTTTCATTCTTTTACTTTCACTTGATACTTTCTTATTTTGAGGAGAGAAGTTTGGAGAAAAGAAACAAACAATAAAAATATTTTTGACAGAGGCATAAATAATCAAGATATATGTAGCAACAAGAGGGAACAGATAATCAGGCCCAAAAAAAAAAAACAAGAGGGAACAGATAAAACTTTCGAAATTGGTAGGCGGCTTACCCACATTTTTCTTTCTTCTTTTCCATTTTTTTCTTTTCTTATATAGCTACTTATAGAATATTATCTTCTATTCTTAATATAAGATTCGAAAATTGTATTTTCTGTTCTTTTTTTAACAACTCTTATATAGCTGCATGTGGCCACTGCTGACGTAGAGGATGACATATTGCTAATGAGGTCAGTCACACTCATCACAAAAATTAGATCGCAGAAAGTGTAAAATTTTAACGTGCAATAAATTAGGGCTCAAATTAATTTCTTTTCCTTTAGCACCGACAATAAATGATTCTCATCTACACTCCATAAAAGCATATGATGCCTAATTTCACTTTTTTAAAGTTAGATTCTTGTTGAAAAATAAAGGACCGAAGTTAAATCGTTAAATGAAAGCATATATTTCTACAGGACAGGTGTGTGAAGGATATGATACAATAATAGGGATGGATGGGAGGATTCTTTAATTTCTTCTGCCCATTGATTCGCTTAATGAGGCATGTTGTATAGATAGGATATAGTAATACCTCTCGTCTTTGAATAAAATTGAAGGAACTTGCGTTTTTAGGTTCATTGAAATCTGCTGGACTGAATCATGCTCATAATAAATTACTATATCTGCCATATCATTAGGGGTTGAAATTTAGACAGAACACATTTTTAAGCATAGGTCCGTCCAAACACCAGTAAGAACTTCCAATTTGAAACTAACTGGTGTTAGTCCTGCTGCAAGGAGCTTTGGCTGGTTAAGTACAATGTTTAGACTTTAAGTCCGTGTAAATGCCAAAAACATAGTTGGAAGAGCTTCCTCCAATGAGGCTCAGTAATATTTGAATCTCATCCAATGACATAATCATTAAAAAAAAAAAACTCAGTTTGCATTGATCGTAGTAGCTATAGTAGCCCCAAAGATACTTAGATGTGAAAGTGCCAAAAATATATATATATAGAAGTAATTATATATATATGGGTTAAGGTACATCTAGCACTCTGAAGTATTTTTTCAAATGCACCCAATATCTACAAAGTATTTTGTGATACATCCAATACTCCAAAGTATTTTTTAAATGCGTCTAGCACCTTAAAGTATTTGTTTTGCTTTGATGCTGAATGCATCAAAAAATATTTTTGGATATTGGATGCACCTAAAAAATAATTTAAGATGTTAGATGTATTATAAAATACTTTAGGGTTATAGATGCACCCGAGAAAAATACTCTATGGTGCTAGATACACCTTAACCCTATACACATATTACCCAATTATAAAACATTAACTAACAAAACTTCTTTTTATGTTACATACACACCACATTCGAAAACACGTCACTCCAATGACAAACGCAACCGTTCTTCAAGTAAATACAGAATTTTCAGTTTTTGAATGTAAGTTGTCTTTCTGAAACGTCTACCGTATATATATTGCTTTTATGTTTAATTTATTATATTTTTTAATGTCAAATTTCTTAATTAATTGCAATGATTGAGAGAAGAAAATGCAATATGGATATGAAAACTGTATTGATATAGAAATTCCCCAACGGATATATGATCTGATGGTACAAAATCACTGAGGAATTTGTTACAAACTTTCAGGAAATAACAGAAATGTCAGAGAATTGCAGAAAGGAAAAAGGAAAGATTCCTCCAATAAGAGAGAGAGAGTCTATCAACGAAATATTCCGCAGCCATCAGTACTATGTTGTCCCTATTTTATTCACGCGTCAGCCTCCAATTCGCGAAGCTTCCTAGTTTTCTTCTTAATTCTTCTGCTTCTACGGACCGAGTCATTTTGGGCGTGGTCCTCATTCATCGTGGGCTCATTACATTAATATATGGGAAAGTTACATATTGAACATGATCAACATCAACCACTAATCAATAAATCTGCAAGAGCCAAAGAAAATCACACACAGACAAAAAAAAAAAAAAGGAAAAAAGAGGATCGAGTACCTAACCTGAAACCAACAGCTCATAAGGCATATTTATGACATATACTTTCGACTGGTTGATTGGGATTGTTGTGGCCAAAATTAAACAACGGAACTTTTGATTGAATGACATTTCATGTCACCTCTGAATTAAATTTATAGCTTCTTCTTTTTTATATTTTATCCATATTTAATTAACGAAAATTAGGCTTTTTTCTACTCCTCAATTCATACTTAATCCTTCAAATTCATTTACTCACCAAGACTTAATAAATATATATGTATATAAATTGTTTGAGATTCAGAATGTCCAATGCGTTTTTTCTGAACTTGAATGATACTCCTCCACCCCTTAACATAGGACTTAGTTGTTATGTTAATTTTGGTTCTAAATGTAAGACTTATTTCTTATATTCATTAATTTTTTCTAAATTAGTCATATTGATATTCCCTCAACCATAATCAAGTAGGAGCGAGGGAAGGATATTAAGAAAGATGATTATGGTGTTTTAGAAGGAAAAAAAGTCATATTTTTTTATAACAAATTAACTTATCTAACTTTTTTAATTATGAAATTAGTTAAATAGGTTTTACATTAAGGACTAGAGGAGTACAGTACAACACATCAAACAAGAGTATGATAATATTAATGCATTTTGAACGAAGATTTCAACGTATAAAAAGTGACTTGATCGTACGTCTCAATTTTGCAATCTCTATTAGATAATTTGTTGTTATGATTAATCATATTGTGAAAAGAGGCCCTTAAAAGACAGATAAAAAATACTAGCTCGGGTCCTTAATATAAAAGCTAGTTGACTAATTTGAATAAATTAAATAAGTTTGTTGAGTTAGTTAATTATTTGTAATAAATAGTTGCTGTGTTTCTTAAAATACCTTTGCTTGTATTAGCTGGAATTATAATTTGATAGAATTTTTGATATATATAACTACTACAACGACTATTTAAAATAAATAAATAAATATGAGGCACAAAATAAATTGGTGTTTTATTTTAAGATCAAATTAAAAGTTAAACTAGATTTTAAATTAAGGATCAGAGGTAGTATATGTTGAAAAAATCGTTGTTTAAAAGAAAATTCTATATCTTCTTCACATGTAATGCTCTTCTTAAAAAAATCAATAACGAATGCATATAAAGTTACATAGGATTAACTCGAATCCTATGTGGGGCCAAGCTACATGTGGTGCTCTAATTAAATTAATTATATTATTGCAGAGAATTTTGTTAGTCCCCCAATTTTCTGTGCCCACTATCACGATGCATATATTCCTTCACTCTCACAAGTTACAATTACATGTGTGTGTGTATATATCCTATCAAACTATATGAAAGAAGGCAAATAATTACACAGCAAAAAAGGTTTGAAGGCGGAAGAGATTGACCCCAGCTAGATGGCCAATAGGGAGGATTTGATCCGCTGGTTCGGACTCCTTGATCAGCAACCGGTTCCGGTGGAAACAAATCCCCAGCACGGCACCAACCCCCCCAGCGCTGCAGTTCCTCAGGGAAGCCCAGTCGCAGCAGCACCTCCAGGACCGAACTCCCCTCCGGCCACGTTCAGCAACGCCGGCACACAGAACATGAAAGGTCTTATAAACAACACTGGCCATACCACTGGCAACGGAAATGGTTCCATCATCTTCAGTTCCTTTGACACCTCTACCAGGGTCGGCAGGAATTAATTAAGACCAATTTAGTAATTAATGATCTCCAGCCCCTTCTTCTAAAGTCTTAATAATAATCCTTTATGAATAATTATGCTTTAGTTTAAGGAACATGAATCTTGATCAAGACAGTTGTTAGTTTGTAATGATACGAGGTTCCTGCATCTCTCTAATTTACATAATAAAAATCTTTTCCTTTCGTGACATTATATGAATACTCCACCGCCAGTTGTGTGTTGGGTCAATGCCCCATTTGTTTTAAAAAAAATAGAGGATCTGAAACAGTTACATTTTCTATCAAAATAGTTCGGCCCAATTTGTGAGGTCTTATCTGGACTTTAATTTCAATTTATCATCTAATTAGCTGATATGAAACTTATTATATTCTAGAACAGACCAATTCACCGGTAAATGACACGCATAAGACTGAGATTTCATGCACCAAGGCAGCTCTAAAACGTTGGATTACACACACACGGACACATTTAATCATTTGAATCCTTGATGATAATATGCATTAATGACATGAAAGAAGAGGCTGGCTGAAGAAGCTCAGCTGGACTACAAAGCATACATTAGTCAGATTGATTT